TTTTTTTTTTTTTTGCGTTACGCGGGCCTCTCACTGTTGCGGCCTCTCGCATTGCGGAGCACAGGCTCCGGATGTGCAGGCTCAGCGGCCATGGCTCACAGGCCCAGCCGCTCCGCGGCATGTGGGATCTTCCCGGACCGGGGCACGAACCCGTGTCCCCTGCATCGGCAGGCAGACTCTCAACCACTGCGCCACCAGGGAAGCCCCTGGATGCTTTTTTTAAGAAAATTATTGGACTTTTTACAAAGATTCTTCTGATAGACTTTCAGAATGGTTTGGGACTGGCATATTAAAGGCATTCCTTATATACCATTAATATTCCAATACTGCAATTGGCAGCATTTTGATTCTGAGGAGAGTGCATGAGTTCAAGGTCAGAGAGATTGATTTGTGCTGTTCATTATAAGCAATTATTCTGTGACAAATGAGTTTGAGATCAGGCTGAAAATTCTGTACGAAAAATCAATAGTTCTAATCAGACCCTTTCAGGTCATTTACACCCCACCTTTTGTTGGTTCGTCAGAGGAGAGCCAGATAAAACCTGTGTGACAGCGAGGCCTCCCTACTGTTGCAGTTTCCATTTCAAACATATTTTGATATCTTAAATGAATAGTTTAATTGGTTTCAAAGCTGTAAATGAGTGGAAATTTACATTATTTCATTTTTAATATTCTGATAAGATTTTCCAAATTAGCTTTAGCTGTGTAATTTTTTTTTCCCTCCCCAGGGGAAGGAGTTATACTTAAAGTCTATAAGCAGATTTTGAACGGCTTCTTTCAATCCTGAATTAAAGGGTTTTTAGAAAGTGCCTTTTCTTAAGTTTGCTGAAACAGACTGGAACTGTCACCTAGCCTTGTACTCTAAACCATGCGTGTTTTCTGCTTCAGTTTCCCGATGAAGATGAAGAAACGAGGTTATACCGCTTAAAGATAGAAGAACAGAAGCGCCTCCGAGAAGAAATCCTGAAGCAGAAGGAGCTGCGGCGGCAGCAGCAGGCCGGCGCGAGGAAGAAGGAGCTGCTTGAGAGGCTGGCGCAGCAGCAGCAGCAGCTCTGCCCCCCACCGGCCCTGGCTGGGCAGGAAGAGCAGCTGTCGGCACCGTCGCCCACCAATGGTAACCCACTGTTACCCTTCCCGGGGGCACAGGTCAGACCGCATGTGAAAAACAGACTTCTCGTGAAAAACCAAGATGCCACTGTTTCAAATGTTCCACCCAAAACATCCAATTTTGTGCCATCTGGTGCTAACACGCAGTATCAAGGACAGCAGATGAAACCACTGAAACATTTGAGACAGGCCAGAACCATACCTCAGTGTCCAGCTCAGCACAAAGTCCTGCAGGTAAAGCCTGCAGACGGGGAGGGACCGCCACCCCCCTCGCAGACTGCTCGAGCCGCGTCCCTCCAGGGCCGGCCCCCGGAGGCCAAGCCTGGCGCGAAAAGGACTGTCATGCACCGGGCCAACAACGGTGGCGGAGACGGGCCGCACGTCAGCTCCAAGGTCAGGGTGATTAAGTTGTCAGGCGGGGTAAGTTGACGAGGTCACCAGTGCCTCTTGGAATCTATGTTTCACTTAGTATGTCCTAACTCCCAGAGAGGATTTTTGAAGGAAGGGAAGTAAAGTTGCCTGTCTTAGAATCATGTGGACCAGCCTCTCCCCACTTGAAGCTGGTGTAAGAATTGTCGTTTAAATCCTGCTTCCAATTGGGACCCATGTTTCAGTTGTCTCTTGAGTCTTAGTGAAAAACCAGTGTGACGGTTCCTAAATTAGACGTTTCTCAGTTTTAGCTTCTTTTTATAGATAATTTATGCTAGCATCATCAGTTTGTTTTAAAAATAAAATTTCCTTTACCACAGAACACATAATTTGTTGTGTGTAGCTTTAGATTCAGGGAGCATCTATGGCAGCGGGGGGCGGGGGGGCAGTGTGTGTGTTGCTTTTAAGCAGCGTTGTTTCAAAGACTGTTTCCCGTCTTCCAGGTGAAGCTAATTGCCCACCACCCTGCCCCCATTTGAGGGAGAAAGGGATTGACAGTATTCTAAAGTGAAATCATGTGTGATCCTACCATGTGCTTTCAGAAGTCGGGCACCCCTCATTTCTTTCTTCACCTCATAACAGTGCCCATTTTAGAGCATTTTCAGTAAAGCACAGTAATTGCAGTTTGGATAAATTCAGTACTTAAACTAAACAGAGTTGCTGCAGATAGATTCCCATTGCAGGAGATTCTCCCGTCAGCATCTGTAGAATACTTGCTTCCTTGATTCTGCCGTATAGTCTTTATTTATTAGAGAAGGTAGCACTCGTCTCTTGCTTTAATTATATTAATTCTGCAACAGACTCTCTTTGGTCCGAGTAACTGTCGTGCTCTCTGTCGCAGCTCCCCATTGTGTGCAATTTGTGTTACAAACTGGGGAAGAAGGGGAGAACCGTAAGACACAGGCTCTTAGAGCAAACCAGCTACAGATGATTCCTTTTAAAACCACAAAATATTTACAGGAAAAAAAGAAAGGGACTTCTAATCCTCAGTTCACCCAGGGACAGCAGCACCACTAGGAACGGGCGGGAGCTGTTTGCTGTGCTGGATTAAGGGCAGCTCCTTGTTGCTGCTTAATTAGTCGAGTTTTAATTGCTTTTGTTTCTAGGTTTGTAGACTAAGGTGTGAAGTTTTTCACACGCCATAAGAAAATTTGTGATAGAGCAAATCTGTTGTTTCTCACCTCGGTTCATGGTGATTCAAAATGTTGATAAGTAGATGGCCTGTATTATATCAGATTGCTTAAATATTGTATGAATTTATTATCTTTAGGTGAAGACCCAAAAGTGTTCATCAGTTTCCGGTGTCTGTGTGGCCTTTTGCTTTTGACCATATTTTAATCATACTTTGTCGGTGTCTCATTTTTTTACTTGAGTTAGAAACTTCTGAGGGTGGGCCATGGGGCGATGGTTTGGGAATAGGCCCTTTCCCTGGGCAGCCACAGTGGTGCGGTGCGGGCCTGGGCACTCTGGGCTCCGGCAGACTAGGAGGTGCGGGGCACAGCTCTGCTGTCCACAGGCAGCCTTCAACTAACGAATTTATCTACTTCAGCAGAATTTATCTACCTCAATTTGCTTTTTTCTCCTGTGGAAAAAATATAGTTTTTATATCAGACCATATTCCAAAATCATGCTGTATAATTTTACAATACACAGGAAAACAACAGAGGAATTTTACATGAAAATAGCTGTCTGCCAAACTTTGAAATGGTTTTTTAGCTCCCTTTTTAATTCTTAAGTATTAAGTTAATTAACCAACATGTTCTGTATATTAGGATTTATTCCAAAAATTCCTCCAATAGCATGTTGGCAACGTTCACCTTATCAGAGGATAAATGTCTCTCGTTTGTTTGTATCTCTCTGAACCAGGACAAACAGTGTTTCCCTAAAGGCCTGGGTTTTTTGGTGTGTTTTTTTGGTGGGTAGGAACTATTTGTAACATACCCATTGTGCAAAAAGGAGACAGTTCTTGTAAGTGCTAATAAGTATGCTCTCATTTGTCCTTTTATTTCTGTCCCTGCTGGTCCTTCTCTCCTTTCATGCACCATGGCATTAATGCCCAGGGCTGTGCTATGTTGTGTGCTTGGAGCTGAACCAGCCACCCTGGTGAGGGTCTGACAGGGGCTTAGCATATGGGAGGATTGACTTGTATATCGTACCTGTGCAGAATATTATTTATGCATTTCAGGTTTATAGTTACTTGTTTAATAGAAGCATTTCATTGTCAGTTCACATTCTTGTATTTTGCTGTGAGCCCAGGACTTCTTCACATTCTGTTTGTGCAGAAATACAATAGACATCCTATTTATAAGGTTTTCTAGAGAAATTTACTTTTCAGAGAGTCAGTTTGACTTCTTTCTAACCTAAACTGGCATCGAATGTATTAACTAAACTATTCTTTGCATTCAGTGGTCTCCTCGTTCTAGTAGTTGGTCTTCAGACAGGACACAGGACTATCGCAGTACATAGTGCTGTTCTAGAAATTGTGCTCTGGTGGTGATCACAGTCAAAATACGTATCTACAGGATTGTTAGGGAAGCGGAAATTTCTTGTACATCAGTCTTATTCTGATGTACAAATTGAAAATATATTACAGCTTAAATTAGTTTTCTTTAGGTGAACTTTTACCTGTGAGGCAATTGTGAATCAATAAGGTCTTCTCTTTTGTCATTTCCATATTTCATTGTCTGTAATTCAATAATTTATCTTTGGATTTTATTAAATTGGGTTTTTTGAAAGGTGAAAGAGCCTGTGTCTTAAGACTATAGGTTTTTCAGTCTGCCCTTTCATTAATTATACTATCTTCAAAGTGATTTTAATTCATACTGATCATCGAAGGAGAATTTCTGGTCTTTTTATATTGTTCCTCTTTGTTAGAGCTAATGCATTACGGACATGGGAAGCATTTTCAAAAGGACGTAATGAAAAGTATTTCTTGGTGTCGGTTCTCACACAGTCCCTGACCAGGTCTGGGTTTGTAGCTCGCAGAGTCGTACCTGACTTCCTTTGGGAGCCGTCTTGGCCTCATGCGTTCTTTGTTGGCCAATCCGAAGCTCCTGTGTGTGGGGCGTGGAGGTTGAGGCCCTCAGTCACCAGGAGGGTGTGATGAGGTGAAAACAACGTGGCTGTGTTTGAGGAAGACCCGTGGCTGGATGCTTGTCTACTATTTATTGTCTTGGGGGCCCTTCTAACACGTAGAAGGTACTTTATAAATGTCCATTTTCTTTTTGGAATGCTCCTAAGGCCCCTTCTAGAAATACGTTCCCTGATTTTATGCCACATAATAGGTAGTAGCTACTGTTTATCAGGTGTTTAGCATGTATTCACAGCATCCTTATGAGTTAGATCTATTATTGCCATTTCATAGGTAAGTAAATTGAGTCTCAGATAGTAGCCCAGGGCCACTCAGCTACTGACTGGTAGAGCGAGGCTTCTAAATCCTGTGCTTTTTACCCTTATTTACAATAGCTATTTTTACTGCTCCTTTTCCTCCTAGGTTTCTTAGTTCTAGATTAGGGAGAGTAGTCTACTCTTTCCAGTGAGTTTTTAGGGGCGGCTTCTAGGATGAGGGCTGATCAGGTTTCATTTTGCTTGCCAACCCCAGTTGGTACTGACTGGCTGCAGAGTATGTGGAGAGGGTTTAGAGGTGGGCCACAGAGCCCTGACTGGGGAGTCTGGACTGGGGAGTGGCTGGGGTTGCATCACGCCTGTGCTGGAACCTGTGTGGAGTAGCCTGGTATGGTGAATTAAAGCGAGGGACGGCGTACCCTGGCTGAGTGTAGCTGTGACTATAGCTGTGTGCTAGAAATGTGTCTTTGAACATTTCTATGTAGATCAAAATAGATCCGATTTTATATTTAAAATTGAAATCATTAAGGGAATTTGAAATTTAAAGAGACCTTTTGTTATGAGGCTGATCAATCTCTTTGTGAATTTTAGTTTTTTCCCATTTATATTGTCTGATTTGTTGGGTGAGATTTAAAAAGGAACAAATTAATGCTACTTGTAAAGAGTGTTAAATGTTGGCAAATATTGCTTCTAAAATTTCATGTGCCTCCCTGAATAATATTTATATAAGTAATCTACTTAAAGAATTGTAGTTGATGGAATGGTTCTCTTTTTATTATTTAAAACATAGGAATAGTCTCCATTTGCTCATTTCTCAGAAAGCTACTTTTAAGTATTTAATTTTCAGAAACCAAAAGAGCAATCTTGTTAAATCATAATTTCTGAAATTCCCGGGTGATCCAGTGGTTAGGACTCCATGCTTTCACTGACGAGGGCCTGGGTTCAGTCCTTGGTTGGGGAACAAAGATCCCACAAGCTGTGCAGTGTGCCGTGCCCCCCTGCCCCCAATCATAATTTCTCTCATAACCAATACATAATCCAGAAAACCTCTTCAGGTTAATAACAGAGCATATATAAAAATGTAAAATGTTTACTTAGTGTAAACTTAGTATAATCATCCTCAGCCACGTTCTGTGATTAAACCCCAGAAAAAAGAATTAGGACGAGCAAGTGCCGTGCAGAATTTGTTTATTCAGGAGTTTCATTAGGCCTGCAGCTCTGTCTTCCAGGTTAGGGGAAATGGGGAATCTTTGAGATGTTTGCATCGGGTTACCTGGCCCAGATGAACCTGTGTCCTCCTCAGAATGAGGCTAAGCTTCTCCCAGGGTGGCTGTGAGGGTTAACTGTCGTGACATGGGTGAGATGAGTGGCACAGTGCTTGGGCACGTGGCATTGGCTCAGTAGATGTTACTACCCTTTCCTTTTAGTTAAAGGAAGAAAAAGTGTGTTCTTACAGTGTTCTTTAAGAAAATGAAAGCAAATTCTGAATTCAGCTGCTTTATTCTAATTGAGGTCATGAAAATTTTAAGAATTTGGCAGCAAATTAAGTAAAGAGCCTTTTGTTCTGCTGGCCACACAGAGAAATGGGAGAAGCACAGAATGCCTCAGCAGGAAAGCCAGCTGTCCAGTCATGATATTCTTGAATT